CATTGACCGTAAGTCATAGGAGAGAATCAAAAGTAATCAACGAGATTCAGAAGTTTCTATGCTTTCTAACTGAAATTTTTTTCTCATTTGAAACATTTTATAGTCACAAGAAAAGGACGTCTGTGTAGATTTTTTTGCATCTAATTTAGTTTTATATTTTGATCAAAACTGCTTGAATCCAAACTATAAGAAAGTTTTTTTATACACTAGTTTATACCGGATACATTGCTCCAGAAAATAACTGATTTATTTCTCTTCTTTTACATATTGCTATAGACGATTGAATCTATTACATTCTAAATATCAAATTTAGAATAGAAGATTTGTTCTTTGAAAAAATATCGTCTAATTTGAAGAATAACTGTTCGAATAATGTTTATAGCTTTTCAGCCTAATGTACTATAATTTTGTAGAAAGAAAAATCTCTACAACATCACAAAATTAAAACTATCCAAAAATCTTGGCCAGAGTAATTATAAATGATAGATAAGCTTTTTATGAAACAGAAATAACGAAAATTATGCATTATTTCGTGTTGTGGTCAATTTAAATTTTTCATGAAAAAACAAATGTAAAAATATCTTCGTTTATCCGGCCCAGTATGTCCAATTGAGCTGAAACGTTTTTCGTATATACTATATACTGTTTGAGATGAGTATGTTATTTCTTTATTTCAAAAAACATTGTTCTGTTGATTTTTTATAGTTCTAGTGGAAAAACTTCTATTCAAGAAGACATACGGTTTTTAGAATTTGTTTGATATTTTAGTTTTTTTTGTTATTCGAAGAAGAAAAAAATATTCAACTTGATCGAAAGCAGCAACTCAAAGAAACAGAGGGGAATAGGACAGCCGATTTTGGCCATTGCGATCACAGTATCTCATAGAAGACAATATTCAGGAACTTTGCGTCTGTGACAATTTTTGCTCTGACGGTCAAGATCAACCGTCTCAGAAAATTTCAAAATTTTTGATGAGTCGTTCTATATAAACTTTGGAAAGAGAAGGGTTGGGCCGTTAAGAATCTTCGAACTAAGTATAAATTAAAGAGTTGAATAAAGCATGGTAAGTTATTTATTGTATAATTTCTCAAAAATCTTTGTATCTTTTTTTTCTGATGTTCATCTTATTTTTTTTATAAGTATAAAGTGTAGGTTATGTAGAGTAATGGACAAAAGTTTCTCCTCATCTGAGTCCTGGCTATCACACACATTGAAAGTGTGTCGACATATTCTTCACCAAAACATAAGTTCATCGTGACTGCTTGAGTACAATGAGAATTATGAGGAATCGAATAAAAGACATCTATTATTCTTTAATCTTCATAATTCTAAAAAAACGAAACGCTATGAAGATCAGTTGATTCTTCATTTTTTTTCTAGTTCTTTCTAGACATCTAACTTATTAATTTTACTCGACATTTATCAATTCTTTCCAGATTTCCGGTCATTATTTTTATGAATATTCAAGAAAAGGAAACAACTATCTTTCGCTCGTTGAAGTGAATTACTCAGTAATAATTTAACGAATTAAGCTAAGATATTTACAGTAGTGTTGCCTGTATTGCAATATTATTGTCTACAACTCTCACAAGAAAATTTTCTACTAAATATAAATCTCATACAAATAATTATCGTTCTAGTTCTGAGTATTCAGAAATGATCATCTTGTCGCAAATGATTGGATCGTTTTTTAGACTCAGCTTCGGTTGTATATGAAAATATTCATCATTAATCATATATTTCATAACAAGCAATGTGAAATTTAATAGACACATTTTTTCAGATTAAATAGCTTATAGCAAAGCTAATTACTTTCTAACACAATTCTCATTATATCAAAACAATCGGAGAAACCTCAAATTTCTGGCTCAAATCTTTAATGTACTTAGGGCATACCAAAAGTCTTTACGGAGCTATATCAATTTCTTATAGAATGCTTGAAGAAATTTTCTTTTTTATGTAGTGATATAGAAAACAATGCTCTATTTTTCTATGCTATTTGATCAATCTTCAACAAATATCATCATAATAAAATTTCGATAAGAACTGTTTTTGTGTAAAACTTAACTAATGGATGCGGCAGATCAATTGTTTTCAATCACTTAATACATTGTATTAAAAAACAAAATATACCACAAGATGCAGCGTGAAAAGTTCTATGATTTACACAGGACCGCTTATTTTATAGTTGAATTTTTTGTTTTTGAAAATAAACAAAATTTTAAGCGATCAATTTTCGATCATACGAAAATGATATTTTTTGGTAGAAGATGAATTCATTTTTTCTTATTCCATCTTTTTTTTTCACCTGATATCTTTTATTGAAAAAAAAACAACATACATTGCAAGATGCAGCATGAAAAGCTCTACAATCTACAAAGTAAAGCTTATTTTAATTGTGTATTTCTCGTCAAAGAAACCAAAATTTTGTGCAACCAATTTTTACCGCCCCGAAAAAAATTATGCGAAGAGAAATTCCGTTTTCTTATTTCATACATAAAATAAACTGTTCTTTATAAGTTGTAAAGCTTCTCACGCTGCATCTTGTGGTATATTTTGTTTTTTAATACAACATACTGAGTGATTGAAAATTGAAATGGAAAGCGTATTTATTTGTCTCATCCGTTAGTTAAGTTTTACACAAAAACAGTTCTTATCGAAATTTTATTATGATGATATTAGTTGAAGATAGATCAAATAGCATAGAAAAATAGAGCGTCGTTTTCTCTATGACTACATCGAAAAAGAAAATTTCTTTAAGCATTATATAAGAAATTGATATGGCTTCGTAAAGACTTTTGGTATGCCTTACGTAGCCATGTACCGAGAAAGGACGGGAGCGCATAAGACTGTAAATCTGTCAATTACTTTGATTATTAATATTTATATATTATTAAATGCAGAATTTCTTGCTGAGTTGTTTGATAGTAATTTTAGATCGATTCGATAATGTCTAGAGTAATAAAGGTCAGAAATACTAATCTTAGTTTGTCATCGACAAAAGTCTCATCGATATCATGAGATAACTTGCTAATAACTTTGTACAACCACATTGATTTCATTCCAAAATGGATCTCATTAGATAAAGCATACTATTCTACAACAATTTCAATCAGAGAAAAAAAATCTAGTAAAATAACTCATCAGTGTCTTTGATTTATTACTGTATTGCCGATCAACATTATGTTAGCTGACTATTCACAATTGCTCATTGACATCTCAAGCGATGGAGATCCATAAGGCTGTATTGAAGTAACTCTTTATAAACTACCCAACAGTACTTTTCAAACGCAACGGATACTTTCTACTAAACCTCCTCCCTTATTAAAAGCCTCCTTCAGAGGTGACAATGTAGAAGGTGTATTAGAAGCCCCCCTGATTTTAAAAACTTTTTGAAAATTATTGTTAATATTTTCATCGAAAAACTCTCAAAATTCGCGATCTTAAGGTGAGAATATGTTTAATTTCTTTACTAATCAGCATAAAAAATCTTGAAATCTCCTAGAAAGTTGTTGGAACAACTCTTACAAATCCTAAAGATCCTTCAAGTCCTTTTGAAATCATTTGCCATCCAAAACTATTGAAAATTTTAGGACATAATAGAAGCTCCCTTCGAAACTTTCGGATAATGGACAAATTAGAAGACTCTAGGAACTTCTAAACTGGATGGGAGTTTAGAGAATTCTCAAACACATTATCAAGTAGACATGATTTGGTATATTTTTGGCATTGAGTTAATATGTTTTTAGTCAGAAAGCTACTATTAGAGTCAAAACTAATAACAAATTTGAAATTAACATAAAAAACCTAGGTCGACTTATATCCATTTTAAACACTTCTGCGAAGATTTCTTTTCGTCGAAGAGTTCGATCGAGGTCCAGCAAAGAATGAATTTTACTTGATTTACTATTTAATAATTTGTCATTTTAGATTCTAATAATATGTCACAAAATTTGACTTCAAATTCGGCTTTCGAATAATATTACACTAGAATTAGTTTTTGATTGGACCCTGATTGAATTTTTCAATGAAAAAAAACCAGGTTCACAAAAGATTTTGAAATAAATATAAATCGACTCAGTTTTGATGCTGATTTCATATTTGTTAATAGTTTTGTCTGCAATAATAACTTTTTGACAAAAAAATCTATTAAATACATGTCAAAAAAGTACAAACTCATATCTAATAAATAATGTACTTGAGATATCTCTAATAGCCAGAATCCATTGAGTTTGAAAAATGTATGCTTTTGTATAGTTTGAAAAGTGCTGTCGAATAGTTCATAAAGAGTTACTTCAATAGAACATTATAGATTTCCATCATTGGAGAAGCCAATGTGCAGTATCGAATCATCAGCTAATATAACGCTGATTGACAATACAGCCACAAATCAAAGACACTGATGAGTTATTTTACTAGATTTTTTTTTCTTATTGGAATTGTTGCAGAATAGTATGCTTTCTCTAATGAGATCCATTTTGGAATGAAAGCAATGTGATTGTACAAAGTTATTAGCAAGTTATATCACGATATCGATGAGACTTTCGTCGATGACGAACTAAGTTTAGTATTTCTAACCTTTATTGACCTAGACATAATCGAATCAATTTGAGATTACTACTAAATGACAAACCTAGTGTAAAATTTTGCATTGAACCAACCATCAATTTTAATACTCTAAATAATGACCCGATTTGTGGTATTATGCACCCTCGTCCTTTTCTGATTTCCACGGCTTGTATTCGGGCGAGATTCACGTCAATAGGAACATTTACCCACTACTATCTTGTTAAATTCAAATGATACAGAATGTTTTGTCATATATGTAATTAATGTCTGAATTGATTTACCATACAAGGTCACAAGTGGACATTAATTGTTCCCTTGCGATTTTCAATACGACAAGTAGTGATCAGTATAAAGATTGACTTCTTCTACTTCTGGTCCTTTGTTAAATCTTATTTACTGATAAATGAGGAGATGAAATTAACTAATTATTTTTAAAGTTCTTCTAGATCTTTATTTTTCTTAGAGAAAACAATAGAAACTTATCTTGACATTTAAATGGGCATGTATGTAATCCAAAACTAATTCCTAACAATCCCTTGATTGGACAAAATGCTATTTCCTGGAAGCAACATATATTGCATGATTGTAGGTCTTTTCTTCTGTACTAAGAACAATGTCAACATGTCACAGGCAACGTTTTCCTATTGTACTTCCCATATACAAAATAATTGACTGACTAGTAATTGAAACGAATTTCCATATTACTTTTAATTTTCCTATTTATCTACAAAAAAACACTGATTTCATAAATAAACAAACCTGTAAACAATATTGAAGAAAATCTTCTTTATGTACAAGACCATTTCCATGAATATCCCAAGCCTGATATATTTAATATAAGTTTCAAAAGAAAAACCTCAGTTAAAATCTTTATTCTACATACATCAACTAATTCATCAGTTCGTTCTTGGATAGCATTCATAATTGGTGCATAATTAAGTTTACCAACAGGCATTATAAGTTGAAATATTGATGCAACCAATTGAAATAATTCCTAATAGAAAACAATAGATAGTTTCAAAACAAAGTCAAAATAAAATGATTTTTTTTTATGTAAACCGTTCTTGTTATTATTCCATCTTTATTTATATCATATAAATCAAAAATCCAACCAAGACGAGCTTCAATGGAACCATGAACAAGTAAAGAAAATGTTGTAACAAGATCTTCGAATCGAATTATATTCGTATTTGATCGATCAATATTTTGAAAAAGAAATATCGCATAACGATAACATTCTAAAATAATCAAAAGATCTATTATTTTTTCTCAGATAATAATAAAAAAAAAACAGAACATACCACCAGTTGGAAATAGTGTTGAAAATATTGAAGCAAACTGTTCTTTGGTTACTTGTCCTGATGGACTATCCTAGTTTAATTTAAAAGAAAAATTTAGTAAATTTAATCAAAGAAATTTACTTGTTTAAATGTTCGATATAGATGACGAATTTCTTCTTTTGAAAAATTAGTTTTTTTCATTAATTCCGTTATTGAACAAGTTGGCCGTGATATTGGATGAGTTGACGTCGCATTTTCTATAAATAATCATTGATATGTATATGTCGTGCCGAAGTTACACTTCTTGTCGAAGTTAGTGTGAATGATAAAATAAATATCAACTTTCAAGAAATCAACAATATCTTTCATGTTGTATCTTAAAAATTATTTTTTTCCATCAAAACAATAATACAAAATTTATTTTTCAATATTATGATAAATATACTAGCGTTTCAGCAAGAATGAATATTCATTCGACTTGTACTTTTACGTATTTACTGCGATACAGATGAAAAGGAGTTTGGCAGATTGTAAAGATACAACAATCTTCTATGAAACTCTAAGATTATATAATATATTAATAATTTCAACGCAGAAAAAAATTAACATATTGTTCCTTTTATTCGTCTGAATATTTGCACGTTTGTCATAATATTGAAAAATAAAATTTGTATTATTGTTTTGATGGAAAAAAATAATTTTTAAGATACAACATGAAAGATATTGTTGATTTCTTGAAAGTTGATATTTATTTTATCATTCACACTAACTTCGACAAAATATGTTTGTCGAAGTTAAACTTCGACGAAACACATTGACGAAGTTATAACTTCGGCAAGAATAATCGTCGAAGTTATAACTTCGACAACATCGTCCGTCGAAGTTGTAACTTCGGCAAAAATTTTGTCGAAGTTATAACTTCGGCAAGAAGTGTAACTTCGGCACGACATATATATATTTATATATATTTGAGCTTTTTGTGTTTTAATTTTTTTTTCAATAGAAAAAAAGATATGCAAAAATTTTCTTTTACTTGCGCTACTTTTCGAACCCAGATTGAGTAGACGATTTTTATTAAATGTTTGGATAGATGTCTCGACTGCTTGCCACATCTGTATTTTTCTTGATCAATGTTTATACATACATGTATATATAGATATATATATATGTATCTGTTTAGGAATAAGAAAAAGATTGAGTCCTATTATATGAATGTGTATGTGTGTCTGTGATCAACAAGAAAAAAAGAAACGGAAGAAGCACATCTCAGGAGATATCGAAAGAATTATGATAATAAGATTATTTTAAAATTATCTCTTACCATTCTCAGCTTTGTAACTGTCACTATTGTGACGTCCACCTGCCGATCTTACAACATTCATTAGTGCAATCTAAAGTGACATATGTTGTATTGTGAACAATAAAACTAAACAATAGCAATTATAATCATAAATACTTCTTATTTGACTGCTGTATAAAACCAGGTCTTTTTTTTTTAATTTTCTTCTTTTCTTTGTTCACATTCGAAGAATCACTTTTTTTTTCCTAGCCGTTGTTTTCGTGAGTGCACACTTTCTGCATAGAGCATTTCCGCTCTAAAAAGCTCAGAATCGTGTGCCTTGTTCTTTTTTTTTCTTTACACAAAAAAAAAATTAACTTCTTTCGGTCGCATATACAAACAATCGATAAATCCCATAATATTAATATTTTACATAATTATAGTTATTTTTTTGTTTGCTTCAAAAAAGAACAATACGATCCCGAATCAATTTTTCTCTATAGTAGAATAACAAAAAAAACAGACAAGAAAAAGTATGCTTTTCAATAGCAATAGTAAAATCAAAGTTAGTAACAACAATTGGTTTCAGTTACATCTTGCATTGGTTAACAAAGGTTACGGCTAGCTAACTCTTGTTAATAATATGCTATATAATAACGTTGTCGCATTCGCATATTTCCTATATGCTAGTCCAAATGCTAAGCAATCCGATAATTGTCGTAGTTACTACTGATGAAAAGCTAGAAAGAACAGAATAGACGGAAAAGTCATCAACATTTCCTATCAAATGCATAAACTTGTTGACAAAAAAACCAAACATTTACAGTATACATATACGCTATTAAATATATATACACATATGCTTAACTGATAGAAGATATTTCGATGAATGAATGACAGTTATCTTATAAAGAATGAAATATTAATACTAAGTATCCTTAATTAAGACTTTTGATTGTAAAGTTTTTTTTATAATTTCAAATGCAATTTTTTTAGGTTTTTTACAAGTCGATTGTTTTCAACACTAGGTTAATTAAGTTGAATACTAAATATAAAAGAAATTGGTTTTTCAAGGTTTTTATTATTGAATTTCGTCATTGAATTCAGAAGTTGGTTTTTAAATAAATTAATGGAATTAAAATATGTCGTACTATTATAAAACTTTTATATTTTTTTTTGTCATAGTTGTGAATACCTGAAAAGACATCAAGCAATTTTATTCTGTATGATTCATTGTTTACAAATTTAATCATCTCGTTAATTAAGATGTATTAGAACTATATTCCAGAATTAGTCTATTGACATATAGAATAAAAAATAAGAATACAATTAAAAAGAAAATATTTAATGAATTATCATGACCTTCATATAAAGCTATAGTTTGAGAAAAACTAAAAATTTAATGATCATTATGAAAAAAATATCTTCTGAACTTTGTTTTGATTTTCAAATATTTCAAACATAACTCAATGCATTAAAGAGAATATGATCATAGAAGTCAAACATCTATGAATTTTTAATCAAAATACTGTATATAATATTATTTATATCTATGTATATATGGTTGTACAAAACAGAATTCTTGAAATTGATTTTCTCTAATGTCATTTATTTTTAAGTATCGAATCTATTCATTGTAAAATAAGAAATAGATCTTTAGTCAATTCTATATTTCATATTCATTATTATCTTGAACAGATTTGCTTTATATATTTGTTTAAATTTCAATCAAAATAATACAATCAATATAGTATACGTACCAATAATTTGATGTCAGCAAGTTGTGAATTGGACTTTACTGTTAAGTTAAAGGAATTTACGTGGTAGTATAGAGTATTCTTGCATTTTTTTTTCTTCTTATCAGATTCATCAAACCACAGATATCTATCTAGCAGAGGAAAACCACAAACATGACCAATATCTTATTTGATGGGGGTTTTAGAGCATAGATAATTAAGTTCCTCTACTGATAGATAGAATCAAACATGCTCATTTTTATATCAAGTAAATTATTTAATAATATTATATAGAAATAATGGAAATTTTTAATTTAAAAATTTTTCAAAACAGAAAGATAGATCATTAATATTAAAATAGATTGATCAACAATTATTTGTCACCTGTCTTTTTCTATTATAATGATAAAAAACATACTATAATCAATTTCCTTTTTTTTTTTGTGTTTTCTATCTCGATTGTTATTTGCATATTGTTATTTGTTTTTTGCCTAGTTTTGGTGATGCATTCATCTTAGAAGTTCGTTGGAACCATCGATCTATTGTTTGATTGTCATCTCAATAAGTGTCTGAAAGAAAAAACAAACACCAACTGAGCATCACTTATTTGTTGGTTTGAGTGAATCCATAGTTATATGTTGATATGTCATGGCTGATGCACAGCAGGAAAAAATATGTTCTTTTATCTGACAATTAAATAACTCTCTAAAGAATGTATAACAATCAAACAATATAATATTACAAAATGACGAAAGAAAAATATCCAAAGATCGACTTTGTCGTCATAAAAATAAAAAAAAAGAGCATTAGCATATTTGATAATTGTCTACCAGTCATATTGGTAAGACTCGACCAAATGAGTTTGTCTATGCAATAAATTGATTCTCTATAATGGGATGATAACATCAAAGGTTGTGTCTAATAGGACATAACGAGAAATTATCGGATAGAATGTCATTTAGTGTTTGACCAAGCACAAAAGAAAACTGAAAGATACAATTTACAAATGAGATATCTTCTATCGTTAATTGACTAATGGAAATCCTATCATTTTCGAAAAAGACAACAGCAGAAAAGTCATGCGTAACAAATCACTTTCTAATGGAAAACACGTATATATCGTTTAGTGTATAGTACTAATCAAAGGGAGAAAACAATGAGAATAACATCTGTTTGACATTGAGAGACAAAGAAAAAAAAACGGCAAGGATAAATGGAAGTTTATCAGCCACATCGTTATAGACGACATTTCTGCTAAAAAAAACTAGAAGAATAAACTATTTGTAACAAACCTCATATAGACAAACATTGATTTGTTTGATCGTTTCCTGACTATTTGAAGAGTGATGAAGTGTTGACAGAATTGGACAAAGAAAGTGTTCGTTTGATTGTTTCATATAAATAAAATCCTATGTATAATCATTAGTACGGATTTGACAATATACACAATTATGCATATATATTACAGATGGACAGATTAGCAGAAATAAAGGAAATGAATAATGGTGGACATAACTGATATGACACATACAAATGCACATCTGGCTTCCATTAATAGATATTTATGAATCTGTATATAATAGTAGAGTTCTGTCAAAATTTTTTAAAAGTTATAAATGTGATTCTGAGTCTTGTTACAATATTGAAATGATCCGTGTAAATTATTCTTTTTGCCATAAAACAAATGAAAATTGAACATGGAAAAGTCTTATGTACTTTACACTGTTTTCTATAATATCTGTCTCTTTTTTTTTTATTATCGTTTTCTTTCGTTCATGAAAGCTCATTATCATGCATATGCGTGACAAAAACGGAAGAACGAAAAAAAAAAAACAAAGAATCAAAGATGAGACTGTACAAAATACAAAGTACGTTCACTCATTCACATATCATCTCGGCCAGCACCGATACCACCAGTGTCAAACAGGCGTACACTCACCTGTCTTCCACCAGCTGGACCTGTTCTAGATGATGACGGAATAATTGCAGATGAAACAGCTGATCCAGTCGTCGAAGCAGGTCCACCGGTTCCACCACCACCTCCAACACGTTTATAAAATTGCCATAATTGTTGTATTAATTCAGTGACAACTAAATCACTTGAATTATAAGCAAGAAGTCTTAGTATAAGTACACCGTCATGTTGTAAATAACGATGAATAAATTCTTTTGCTGGCGTTCGTCGT